TGAAAAATAAAAATGTTGGAACCATGGTGCATGCAGGAATCTTGGTCAGAATGTACTAAGTGGGCCCATCCCTGCTGAAATTGGACAGTTATCTAAACTTCAATACCTGTAATTGCAAGACAATTCTTTCAATTTGAATTTGTAGAGTAATTCAAAGGTTTTAAATTTTCTTTTTTCTTCTTATGTTGATTGAATCTTTTGCTTTGACTTTTTTGTATGTTGGGAAATTGAGCAGCAGCTTGGGCATAAACAATCTGACAGGTCCCGTGCCCCAAGAGATTGGGAACTTATCCAAGTTGCTTTCCCTGTAAGCCCATTTCTGCAGTGTTTCAAATAAGTGCTTTTTGTTCATTCTTTTGCTTTGCTTTGTAATAGTTTTGTTATGTTACTTTTTTATGCTTGACAGAAGTTTTGGCTCAAACCAGTTTTCTGGACCATTGCCAATGAAGCTTGGAAAATTAACTACCTTACAGGAGCTGTAAGTTTTTCACAAAAATCTATATGAATTTCTCTGTTTCTTCCACAGCAGGTGTCAAAATGGGTTGTTATCTTCAGATAGGTTTTACTTATGTGACCCCTACACCATTGGTATTCTCATTTCAGATACTTAGACAGCAGTGGAGTGACTGGACCAATTCCTCAGGAGCTTGCCAACTTAAAATCCCTTAACACTCTGTACTTGCATGACTCTTTTGTTTTGAAATATTGAAGCATTTGATTTGTATATCTGTAAGTTCCAATTGTGGCTTTATCTTTTCTCTTGTCAGCTGGGCATCTGATAATCTCTTCACTGGACAACTCCCAGAATTCTTAGGGACTTTTGCAGAACTCAAAGACTTGTGTGTTTGGATTTCATTGGCACTAATACATTTCTACTTGGATTTTATTTTACTTTTGGAATTTAACAGCTACCGTGTTCTCGTTTACAGGCGACTTGAAGGGACATTGTTTGAAGGCCCAATTCCGAGCAACTTTGGTGCTCTGGTGAAACTAGACATCTTGTGAGCCCTGGTTGATGTGTATCATTTTCATTTCCTTATATACTAACTGATGTTTTTGTAGTAATGCCTTGTTTTTACTGCACAAGCCCTTTCTCATTACTAAATCAATGAGGTTTAGTTTGTGTTGTTTGTTGGAATTTCTCATTTCTAATGCGCTTGTGTAGGCGAGTTGGTGATCTTGGTGAGGAAGATTCTTCTCTTGGATTTTTGGAGAATCTCACAAGTTTGTCTACATTGTATGACCTATACCTTTGAAATCTCCTTGAACTTTGTACCAGCTGCTCAAATCTCTAATTTACAATTTAATCAAATTTCTCAAATCTTGTTGTAGGTCTTTGAGAAATTGTCGAGTTTCCGGCAAAATTCCAGAACAAATTGGCAAGTTTGCTAAGTTGCAATACCTGTAAGTAGCTTGACATTCAATCCTCCTCACGATTTCAAATGGACATATGATGTTATATGTCCATTTATCCAAATGCCTTCACTATGACAGGGATTTGAGCTTCAACAAGTTGACTGGTCAAATACCAAACTCATTCCAAGAATTTACTGTGTTACAGTTTCTGTAAGTAAGATTATTTGCATTTTGCTGTTTAAAATTACATAATGCATTATTAGAATCAAACAGACTATCGCTACTGCTGCATCATGCCCTCCTTGAACCTTATTTAAAAAAACTCAATTAGTCTCTTAATCAATTCAGCCATCATTCTGCAGTTCTGATTGGGTTGGATGATAAAACTAGCAGCATCTGTTATTACATGATTATTATGAATTACTTCTAACTTTTTAAGCTGAAATTATCGGTATAATAATGTGTTCGGTTCACCACGATTATGATTTTCCTCATTGAAAAAGTTCATTTGTGGATCTCAGATACCTTGGAGACAATAACTTGAGTGGAGAACTACCTACTAATATCATAACTCCAAAGCTTATTGCACTGTAAGTGGTACCTTTAGCTTTGCCAATCCTAGATGGAGAGATTAAACCAGCTAAATTTATTGTTTACTGGCAGAGATGTCTCCTTCAATCCTATGTCTGGGAATTTGCCTCTAAATTTTGTCAGAACAGGATTTTCAATGTAAGCTAACCTTCCCTTTTCCAGTCATATTAAAAAAAATATGTGACTATCTTTTAGGGTAATTTATCTTGTAATTCAGCAGAAGTTTCTGTGTTTTTCTCTTCAGGAATGTGCTTGGTACATCTATTAATGGAAATGGTTTACCAGACAGGTAATATATATTACTGAGTGTTATTTTCAAAAATATTATGTCATGGGGGCTCAAAGAAAATCCAAAACCTCAGTAACAACATCATACTTGTGATTCAAACTAAAGATGAAGAAAATGTGAAAACTTTATCAATTGTGAGCATAATATCAGAAGTATTTCTGATATTTTCCTTATTAAAATGGTCATGGAGTCAGGGGGGGTTTTGGATTGTTGAATTGCCTCCAAGGAAATGCCAAGTGCAGTAATCAAATCCCAGCATTGTGTAAGTGAAGTTCTTTCCTTGCCCTTAATCTTGATTTTAGTCACTGAATAAAATTTACCAGGAAAAGTTTTGTTGCAGCTTCATTTTCTATTAAATGTGGAGGCACAAGCCAGACATCTGCATCCGGCATTGAATATGACGACGATTCTGAAACACTTGGAGCTGCTTCATTCTACAAAAGCTCCAGATGGGCAGTGAGCAGCACAGGAAACTTTGTTTTCAACTCGAATGGACCTCAGTACATAGCAAGCACAGATTCTCAAATCACAGAAACTCTAGAGTCTGAACTGTACAAGACAGCAAGACTTTCGCCAAGCTCACTGAGGTACTTTGGCCTTGATTTGATGAATGGGAAATACATTGTTGAGCTTCACTTTGCAGAGATAACAATGGAAGATGACACAAGTTCTTGGAAAGGTCTTGGAAGGCGCATTTTCGACGTCTACATTCAGGTAACTAAGGCTTGCTTTTCTTGCACCTTCTCTTGCTTGCTTTGTTTATTCTCTCTTCCCCTCCCTCATGACATGCTTGCATTCGATTGTTTAAGGGTGAGAGAGTCCTCCAAGACTTCAACATCCAGAAGGAAGCAGGGGGGTCAAAGAGAGCACTGATAAAAACATTCGAAACAAACGTTTCCAACACAATCATGAACATCCACTTCATGTGGGCTGGCAAAGGCACTTGCTGCATTCCATTGCAAGGCACATATGGCCCCTTAGTGTCAGCAATCAATGTTCGTCAAGGTTATTATCATCTCCATTCACATATTGATCACGTGACTAGTTATTATGCAGCATAAATAAAATTGCGAATGATGCGTCTTATTTCGTTCATTAGTGAACTAAATTGTGCTTAACTAATCTGTTTATTGTTTTGCGAATGCGTTCTTGTAGTCCCAGGTGCTGGGAATTCTGCAAACCGTGGGAGGAAGCGAGTGGGGAGAATTGTGGGGATCTCACTTGGATGTGCAGCTGCTGTTGTGATAGTGTCATCAGCGTTCTACTTATGGTGGATAAAGGATGATGCACCTGGGCATATGAGGGTGCATACAGATATACCCAAGAAATGAGCAAATGAAAGTGAGAATGTGAGAAGTGATGGCCTTTGTTGGGTATAAATATTTGTTTGCTTAAAACAAGTGCATTTGTAAAAATGGGCAAATGGGTATGTAGAGAATAAGAGGCTTTTTTCACAAAAATGTTAAATTTGGGGTCAAATCTCAAATCAAATCAAAGTATGCAAAATCTAGTTTATCGAACTCTTTTAATTTATGTTGTGTATAAATATATCACAAAGTCTGACCAAAAAATAAATAAATATGTCACAACTCCAACAAAAATAAAAATAAAAGAAAGAGGCGATCACGGTGGGACTCGAACCCACAATCTCCCGCTCCGGAGGCGAGCGCCTTATCCATTAGGCCACGCGATCTGTTGTTCAAAGCCCCTACTTTTTTCTTATATGTTCGTATAAATTTACAAAATCCATTTATTCCTTTTTTATTTATTCTAGTTTTTGGTTAGTACAGTTTATCTTTCACCCTCTCATTCATTAATTAAATTAAAGCCTTTTCGTTTCATTAATAACATTCTTTATTAAAAGAAAAAGGTGCAAAATAACTTTATTAATAAATAAAAAAAACATTACTGAACTTCTGTTTGATCCATCCATGTTAAAAGAAGAAAAGAAAAACTTGTTTTCTAGGTGTGTTTTCTAGGTGTCCCCCTATGGTTGCATGTGTTTGTTTTAATAGAAAAAAAATATGTATTATTTAAAGAAAAATATCTAAATATCTTGTAACTTTCGAGAAAAAGGAAGACCACTAAACATGTGAGATTCTTTACTCATTACATTATTAATAAAAAAAAATCTAGGGTTTGAGAAGCAATGATATTTGGCTAACAGAAAATGTTGACTGTAAGGTAAATATCATTTTGTTAATAAATTAATATGCTATTTTGTGTTAAATATAAATTATAGTCTAAACTATTCTAAATTAGAATTTGATTTCGAGATTCGAATCAATTGGCATTCTTAAGTGAGAGATTAAATCATAATCATTAATACTTTATATTTTTTTTAAGATGGCCCTTCAACATCTTGACATTTTTATACGTAAGCTTATAAACAAATATCAAAATGACCTGGTTTCCTCTTGCTACAAATCATGGTCAAAATTTAAACAAGAAAAACGTTAATTACTAATTAGGATATGGAGGAACAAAAAGTATACACGGGCTTAGTTAAGTTGGCTAGAAATGATGTGTTGTCTACTCTGCATCTAGTTCGAATTTCCTTCTCTCTTAAATTTTTTTTTTTATTTAAAAAAAAAAAAGTTAAATGATGGAATCTATTTGAGTAGAGTTTACTTTGCATTTTTTTGGGTCAGATGGTTGAGTTTAATTTTAGACGTCTCAATCAGGTAAGTATCACCGTAAACCGTACGCTCGGTTGACGCCTCCTTTACTAAAATGAGCTCCGCTCCACCCAATCAGAACTCATTCACACGTGTCATGCTTCTTTCAGACACGCCGCCCGACACTACCGCCAATCGAACCCAGCTACCCTCAAGTCCCAACCAGCTCCCAGATCTCAGATCCAATCCACGGCTCACATCCCTCCACGTCCCGGACCCCAACCCACTATTTAAATTCACTTTTTTCTCCATCTCCTCTGTTCGAGACACAGACAGAAAGAGATAAGAGGGAAAAACCCAACAAAAAGCACGAGAAATCTCTGCTCCGATCTCATACCGGCTCCGAGATCCGACCCGCCGGACTGTCCTAGCCGCAGATCTAGACAACCCCCGACACCGACGGTAATTACCAAAATGTCCGCCCCCTTCTATTTTTAGAAACTCAATCTTTCTCTTCAGTATTTTTAGGAAAAAGCATTAAAGCGAACCCGTTTCGGTCATTTCCGTCAAATCTCAGCCGGCATATATAATTCGAGGGGAAGCAAATCGACGGCGGAGATGGCGCCGAGCACGATCCGGAAGGCGATCGGGGCCGTCAAGGACCAGACGAGCATAGGCATCGCGAAGGTAGCGAGCAACCTGGCGCCGGACCTGGAGGTGGCGATCGTCAAAGCGACGTCGCACGAGGACGAGCCGGCGAGCGAGAAGCACGTGCGGGAGATACTGACGCTGACGTCATCGTCCCGGGGCTACGTGCACTC